TTATTTCTCATCCTGAATGTTACTAGAGACTTTGAGACTTAGTTTAAAGTTCAAAATCTATAAGTTTTTCTTATCTTTGTTTAATAAAATTTTCTAAGGTAACAGTATGAACGTTCATGGATAGAGTAGACTATCATCCTTGTAAGTTAGGGATTATGTGATTTTATAGTTGATTACATGAGCGGCAATATTCGATTGAGAGTCTGATTATTCATCGTGAGTGACGATTGCTTGATTAGATGCTTCCAAAATCATGCACATAGTCCATTCTACAAGTTTCGTTTTCATAAAATGCATGATATTTAATATTCTATTAAATTGAGAGAAAATAATTGGAGAATTTTACCAGACAAAACCTTTTAATATCCAAGAAAAAACCTTATCCCTTACACTTAAATTTTCGTCCACAAAAGGGGCAGTACTAATATCGCTTACGTATGACGATAATACTCGAGAGAAATATATTGGAAGCAGAGAAAATGAAAGGAGAACAAAAAATATAGATTCACAAAATATAGATTATTTATTAGCAGCCATGGGGAACTAATGAATAATTGAAGTTGTGATTTTCGCCTGAGAAAATTGGGTGGCCTCTAACCTCCGATCAACAATTGAACCTGATCTGATCAACCATACTCCAACCACTAACCCCTAGAGTCCCGGTGTCACCACTGGAGATTCCCCAACCACCTCGGCTTCTTCCACTGCCGCCATCTCCGCCGCCACTCCCGAGGCTGCCGCCGCCACTCCGGAGACTCCCGCCACCTCCACCGCCTCTTCGGAGACTGCCGCCACCTCCGCCGCCACTCCCGAGGCTGCCGCCACCTCTGCCGCCACTCCCGAGGCTGCCGCCACCTCCGTCGCCACTTCCGAGGCTGCCGCCACCTCCGCCGCCACTTCCGAGACTGCCGCCACCTCCGCCGCCACTTCCGAGACTTCCGCCGCCAACGACTCCGCAGCCACCAGCTGCTCGGTGTCCTTTCACATATTACTAGGTCTTGTATTTTCAAGGTGGCCATGTTGATCTATGATATGTTTGGTCCAATGTTTTGAGTACATTGTGGAAAATTAATAACTAAATAAATTTGTCATGTTGGAGATGTTAGGGCGTGATTGGCAGGTTTTTTGTGGTATTTGGTTGGTTAAATTGAATCATTTTGAGTAAGATGATTTAATATAAAAATAGGAAATTAATTATTGTAAGTGATAGATAGTTAAAATTATATAAGTTAATAAATAACAAATTAAAATTGATAAATAATGATTGTTTAGTATTATTCAATTATATCGATAAAAAGTATGAGTTGAGTCGGTCAAAACCGATTAAAACCAATTATAAATTAAGATTCATATCCAATCGACGCCTTATCCTTTTTTCTTCTCTATTTGGTTTTAATGGCTAGAGAAAATATTAGTGACATCACCCTACGTATTCCCCGGCTGACTTTACCGGCAAGCAAAACTCGGCAGTTGGGTCTTTTAACAGATCAGGCTGAAACGGCATCACATTTTTCTTTCGTGTACCGGTATTTTTTCCCCCGATCTCCAGGTAAATAGTAGAATCTCTGCCTAGGCTAGATCACAGAGTAAGAAAGCACCGCGTTTCATTCAAATGCGCTAGGTAATGTTCGGCAAGTGGCCTTACACAACACCATCAAAGGCGAAAATGACAAACATGAAACTCCTAATAAACGAGATTGGTGGCCTTTTCGCCTTGAGTTCTCCTCGCCCAGTCAAGAATGTCGTTACAATCCTCTCGTGAGATGAAATGCCTTCATATTCAAAAAAGAAGCCCTTTTTATAGTGTTTGAGAATCAATTAAAAGAACTTAGCTTAGCAACTTCTCCCTCAACTTGTGTGCTTTACTTTAGGTTTGTATGGTTTTCATTCACTTCATGAGTCCATGTGCAATAAATGAAAGAATAAAATAAATAAATAAATAAATAACAAATAAAATTCTAGCAAAAATACCTGTTTTTAGAGCGGTAAGCTTTTAGTTGGTTGACTTCCTTGCGGTTCGTCATATCCTTCTCCATGCAAAGGAACCGTGGTACCTCAAGCTTCCCCGTTTGATCTTCATAAGCTTGGCATATGAAGTTTAGCACTTGTTCCTGTAAAATCATGATAACTACCAATAATTTTCTTGTACTTGAAAAGAATGAAAATGTGGTTGTCGAAGGCAGTGGACGATTTTATTACACATAACCGATTTCTAAAGTAACTATGAATTTAATTGGCTCGACAGTAATGCTTCACTGATAAAAAAATAACATGAATGGGCTGCGGGCATACCATGGGTTTTGAGGCATCAATCCACTGGTAGATGGGTTCATTTCGGAACCAAGTCAGTTGTCTTTTGGCAAAATTTCTGAACATAAAATAATTTTAACAAATTAAAGCTTGTACGAATAATGGACTTGAAATTAGTTCATCCGACGTAGTCAGGACAAAAAAAAATCTGGAAGAGGAAAGATAAATTACCGAGACACTTTTTGAAACTCGAACAGGAAACGGTAGAAAGCTTGAGCAGAACTCGAGCCACCGTGTTCTCTTGACATTAGTAGAAAATCCATAGCCTACAAGGATATTTATGAAAATCCACAACCGAACACATAAAAACTTTTGCGTTCTGCAAAGTTATGTTTTGAGAGTTAAAAAAAAAAATTGTACTGAGAAAGAAAACCAAAACACACAAACACGCACACACAGAAAACGATATTTATTTCAATATGATAGAGAAAAGAAGTTTACTTGTCTATAGCCAATAGCTCGGGTTGCAGAATTCGAATTAGGCATAAGGCCCAAATCAAGAAGCCAGTTTGCCTCAGATAAAATACCATTATCTGCCATTGCAAAAGGATATTATGCAGAAAATTAACATATCGAGAAGACAATAAGAATATAGGCAAAAGGCATTATTCTGAACCAGAACCAACTCTACCTAAAAGCATATCTTCACAACGGAAATCAATTGATCGATAAAGATCCATCCTCTGAGTAGAAAGGAAAAAACAACTAAAATCATAGTCTAAAGTCTTTGACGCTTTTGCATCAGGTTCGACATCTGAACAATGCCCGTCAAAAGCATCTTCTGCATCACTTGTACGTAATTTCTCTTTGAAAGAATTATAAGGTACCTCAATGGCTGATGGAGAAACACCACTTGACTGCATAATTAAGATGATCTTTTTGCAGAGTAAGTATATTGATAAACAATAAAAATGAATACAAAAGCTTGCCTAACCTTGAGTATTTCAAGCCTGCGACGTAGTCTGTACCAATCATTTGCAGCTAAAGATCGGACAGCAGGATCGCCTGCTTTAACAACAAACTCTACTGCAGCTTCCCAGTCACCATCCCTTTGAAAATCGGCAAGTTCCGAGTTAACTTCACATGTAATCTCACGGGAGGCCTTAGGAACATCTGGTTTCCCATAAATAAACCTTAA